CAGACTTGACCAGATTGTAAACGTTTGTTTCATTTCTCTTGTCTGGAACTCTGTTTTCTTCCCCCCAAATCCCTGTTGTAATGGGGAATGTGGCACGTACTTCCGGGAAGGATGCTGGAGTTATTCAGACTGTGTATACTGTTGGTGGGCAGTGGATGGGACAGTGACTAAGGTTAGCATATCTATGCGCTAGTGGATTGATCTTGACTGGGGGGGGGGGCATCTCTGGGTGTTATTGTTTCAGGGTGTCAGGATCTGAAACAGCATGCTTACACTATCTGGTTCAGACTAGGAAGCTTGCCACATGTCACAGTATTGCTGTCTCCTCCTGGCCAGTCCAGAGACCCAGGGAGAGGTGCTGGGCTGGCTAGTTACATCACCAGGCTGAGTGACCAAAGCTGACATGTCGCGCGGCACGTCGTTCCTGTAATGTTTGTCAAACTAAATACAACAGTGCATTCCAGATACAGGATGTCTTCCAACTCGGTGATAATAGAATCATGTGTTTGTCAGGAAGATGTTCATGAGTAATCAATGCTTTGGCTGCCAGCTAAACAAAAACCCCCCAGGAAACTGCACTGGCAATGGGCTGGAATGCATGGCAGCCCTGTCCAGGATGAAAACCACAGTGAGCTCATCAGGAAATGTAAATACTCAAGTTCCATGGAGCTAATCTGTTGGAGTCGTACAGTAAACTGAGATTTTCTTTATTCTGGGAGCACATAGTTATGTTACACAGTTTAGCAGAACTAACCCCTCTATTGTAGTAATTAGAAGCGCTATAGCGCACACACACACCAAAAAACACTTATTTCCTTGTTTTCCAGAAAACTGAAATATACTCACAAGGGCTACATTCCAGCTCCACTGAATCAAAACAAGCCATTGAGCGGTGAGACCGTCCATGGTCCACCTCTCCGTCTGGCTTGGGCTTGGAGCTGGAGCTGGAACTGGAACTCGAAAATAAGTGGATAGGAGCCAGGAGTGGAGCCAGCCACAGATTTTGGCCCAGGAGCGCAGCTCAGAAGCCACATAGCATCCTGTGGCCTTCCGCTTCCTCACTGCACAGCTCCATGGTGGCTCTCCCCTGCCAGCCACCGCCTCTGTTTACGTGGAGCAGTGGAAATGTGCTGACTGCAAGACCAAAATGCCTGCGGACATACCTGAGATTCCTTGCAGTGCTAAGAGATGTCCTCATTTGTCTGGAATGTCCGTTCTCTTGACATGACCCACCTGTAAATCATGGTGTCTTGTCCTACACCTTCTCTGTCTGCCTCCATTCAGTATGAGAGGTCCACAGGTGAAACCACAACACCCATACATTTTACTCAAACCATTCCCCTTGTCACAAGAGCTTCTTCACAGATGCCATAGTTGGGTTAAGTTCACCAGTGGCTCTGCAGAAGAGACATATGTTTCACATTTTTCAGCCCAGTTTCGAGCTCCCTGTTGTCATAGCAGAAGCAGTCCACACATACCTAGTGATTGAGGGCAGGGCGGGGCAGGAGACATATTCGAGCTGGATTGATCCTGAGGATAGACCAATGCTGATCAATGACAACTGCTTTAGCATGAGGTGCTAACCCCAGCTCTTGTGCCTAGCCAGCGAACAGTGCTATAAGATGGACAGCTATATATGCAGTATTGTTGACTTATCTGAATTGCTGTGTTTAAGAGCAGCATGTCATGACAGTCATGTATTGCCATTAAAATGAAGTATGAAACGGCACCAGTCCTTGACCCTGTCTGTGAGGCCGTTTCTCTCCTATGCCAGGTCAGTGATCTCCCACAGCCCTCATCCTGTGTGGCGGGCAGAGGGCAGTACAGTAGACCCAGAGCCCTGGAGAGGCAGTCAGCTGGAAAACTAAAGGCCAGCGTTCCCTGTGCAATGCACTGCCATTGTGTTAGTGTGAATAGTGCCACTGGAAAAACACAACATCAGGGATATAGCATAACACACACTCACTTTCGACTTCCTGGTCTGGGGTAGTACCACAACAGTAGAAAGTGCTACTGGTCCTCAGGAGGGGTATATAACTCTGTGAGCCAATCATATGAAGTTTGGGGGGCCTCACTGTTTTTTCAGGTGAAAAACTAAAGCGGAGGTATAAAAACAGGCAGAAAAAAGGCCACGGTTGGAGGGTCACTCAGTGAGAGTGATAGGGAGAGAGGAGTGGGCCTTGCAGGAAGCACCTGTCTCATGGCCATTATCACAGGGCTACCAGGCAGGGGCTCCACAGGCTGACGCAGAAGCACATTGTGTTTCTCTACGGCCCAGGACAAAGCTGTTTACCCTCTGCTGTCCCCTCATCAAACACACTGCACTCTTCAAATAGGCCAACCTGTTGTTGTTGTTGCTGTTATTTTTGTATTTTCTTTGCTTCGCACAGCTGCGTAGAATACTGTTTTACTTACTGTAAACAGCACTGCACACTCTAACTATATAATGATGAGTAAATTGTTCATGTGCAGTAATGCTCTTGAAAGTTAACTATACATGTTACATAAATGTGCTTGTCATGAATGTGTTAATCAGTGTGTTACAAACCAATGAATGGGGGCCTCTCACAGGCTGTACAGTAAGCACAGGTCAGATAGCAGGGTACAGCACTCCACCTGCAGGCCTGCGCTATCCACGGGGTGTGGGAGAGTGTGAGGATGCAGCACAATAATGGAGGCAGAGTAACGTCAGGTTTGGATTAAGATGGAAAAGCCAGGCTGTGCTCATATCCCGCCATCGGCAGCCTCGGGAAAATCCATGGAGTTTTCTTGGACTGTGGAGGGGGATTTCTGCACTGAAGAGCATCCATCCCTGCTTTTAAAACAAAGCGTTGTCTCTAAACTTAGACTCCATCCGCTTGTAGTCCTACCCTTTTGCCCAGGAAACACATGTTTGAAAGATCTTACTAAGTTTATTAACCCACCTAACCTACTTTTCCTAAAACGAAACTCTTATAGTCCATATCTGGTCACTAACATTCACCCCTTATGGTTTGGGACACCCTTGAGTGTAGTGAATAGCATATGTGACCGACCGCCTTGATTCGGTCTTATGTAGCAACATTTGAATTGTATTTTTATTTTTACATTGGATAAAAGCGGAGACACAGAGCTACAAAATGGTATATCATACACTGCATTTGAGGAACAATGGGAAAGTAATTCTGCTTAGAAAGTTGATAAACTTGTAACCTCACCTGATCCAAGCGTTCTGTACTAACAACAGCAGTCAAGCACCCAAGCTAACTGGCTAACTTGCTAGCTACTTCCAGACACAAATGAGAGAACAGCTCACTGACCATTACTTGCCCTAGCAGAGCTGGTTAGGCTGTTTTCATGTTATCCAGAGTGTTGGTGACTGTAACTATGCAGCTGGCAACAATTTAATTACGCTTTTTTGCCGATGTTTACTGACACCGGCCATATTCAACGTGTGTTGAGCGTTTGTAAATTCATCAGTTATTCTGCGCTCTGGCACACTCAGACGAGACTGCTCTGTAATCGGAGTAGATGGCCAGACTGAATTTACGAACGCAGCCGAAATGGTTACTTGCATATTGGAGTCTTTTGTTAAGACATGTAGCTAGGTAAACAATGAACCATAATCCCAACTCATGACGTTACAACCCTGCATGAATCTGCAGGTAGCTAACCAACCAGGTTCAATGTTAGCTAGCTAACATTAGGCTATAACTAGCAAAGCAAATGGCTCTGAGATACGAATAATAAGATCATACACGTAACGTTAACTAGCGAGCCAGCCAGCCAACGTTAGCTAGCTAACAGTACACTTTAACTTGAAATGAAACCACTTTCTGTCAAAATTAGAAACGTGTAATATCTGAAAATGTAGCTAGCTAGACTATCTTACCCGTATACATCATGGATGGATGCATCTCCCTGTCACGGATGCCATAGTTGCCCTTAGTTTGAAGATGTAACCCGGAGATGGGTGTTTTCTCCATCTCCTTAGCTATCATACTCTAATTCCACTGATTTCAAAACTCGGTCCTCCAAAAAGTGGAGAGCAACACTTATGCAGTTTTACTAAAAAAAGCCGCGTTAGACAGGATTACCTACACATACTGACCAGCTCAAACAGACAGAAGCGTGCTATATGGCAGACCAATCCAAACTCATCTCTCGGCATGTCCAGCCCACTCATTATCTCAGCCAATCATGGCTAGCGGGAAGGTTACTAGGCTCGTAATTTAACCATTTTATTCGTATTTACAGATGGCATACAAGTTTGTTATTAAGGCACATGAAGGTTCACATGTTCCAGAAAGCATTACTGCCAAAAACGCATTTTGATTTAAAAAAAAGTTTACATTCAAACGACTCTCCTGTGAAGTAGTGACCCGCAACATACGCCTAGTTTCCTGAAACGAGTCACATATGAGTGCTCAAGGCAGGGTTTGAGAGGTTGCAGTGATTGTAGCAGAATTAAGATGAAATGGAACTGACAGTAGATTCTCCAAAGACTCCTTTTTCTATTTGCATTTTCATGCATCTCGTATTGAAATAAGTTGCATGTGGTGAACCAGCCGTATGTTTTTAATTTGTTGTGTTTTAAAATAAATCCAAAGTATTCACCCCCAAGTGAAGAAATCTTCCCAAGAGACTTTGAATGTGAGGAACTCGGCAGAGCTGTCGGTATTCTACTCGCTAAACTATGTATGGCTTAAGTTTATTTTCAAATTATGCTAGCACAACAAATGACATTTCCCCCCCCCATTTCTCCCCCCCCTCTATTAGAAATGATGGCCATATGAGTTATGGACCCTGACATTCTCCACGCTGTTCACGTTGCACTTTTAGACATCGACTTCCCAGCCTATTACTCTCTTTCCCCATCTTCCTGGCCTAAGCTATCTGTTGAATTATTGCGGTCCTTTATGACCAGCTAAAAATATCCATCTCTAAAATGAACCATATGTTCCGGGTTGCATAACAGATCCCACGGAACCACAGCGCTGAGGGGACAGAGGGAAATAAGGATGGATGTGAGATGCCAGTTGTGGGCAGTCGCCTGCTGTGTGATGCAGCTCTCCGGTCAGACCCGTTGGCCTACAGTACATCACAGGGCTGCCTCGCTCTACTTTCCACTTTGCACTTTGGTACCTGTGGTTTGAAGCTGTCTAGCTTTGTTTAGTTTTCTTGTTTGTGTCGCGCTGACCCTGAAGATGTTCTCAGGAAGTGTGTGTGTGTGTGCCTCCTGTTTGCTGTGCTTCCTCCTGGCCTCTTATGAATATAGCCTCCATCTCTGCTCAGCTCAAGACTTCCTACCACGTGGCTGCTCTGTGTGGCCGCTGGGGAAACTGAAATAGCCGTGGCTCATGTTTTGAGTTCAGCTCTGTCCACTGTCCTGTCCGTCCTCCAGAGTTGATAAAGCAGCAGAGCTCTAGGCCAGCCAGGCTGCAGCCCGGTAATGACCCACTCACCCCTGGCCAACCCCCTGTCACCTCAGACACCACTTTCCTACAAGTCATTGTCTTTCTTTGAGAAACAGGCCCTCGAAGTGAAGCGGGAAGAGATAGAGAGGAGGTTAAGATGGAACGGGAAGATAGAGAGGGAAGGAGCAAAAGAGAGGAGCGTACACAACACACAACACATCTGTTGCCGTGTTTTTGTCCTGACCACAAAGTCTTGGCAATCACTTTGCTTTTAGACTGTGTCAGCACTTCACTGGCATCGGTTGGATGCACTTTGTTTTGGAAATGTGTTTTGTGCTCATGCAGCGTGCAGTAATACTGTTACTACTTTGAGTAGGCCCGTCTGAACGGGATGCTGTCCTTCATAACAAATACCATGTTGCCTTGCAACCGTTTCCACGGTGCATGATTCACCTACCTAGTCAGCCACTCTTGTTGGATAATAGAACTTCATGTGTTTGGTCAACAAAGTATCCTCAAAGGCTTGAATTCAGACAAAGTCGGATGCTCTTGTGTGTAGTATTATTCTCAGTCATCAGAACCCCACCAGGTAAACTTGGGTTAAATCTACTGCGACAGAGAGAATGTGGTGTTGGAGAGATTCCACTCCAGGGATGCTCTTCATTCCTGTCGGAGGAGTTGGGAAAGTATTTTCCCATCAAGTTGTCCTTTTTCCAGTTCCAGACTTCCTTCTCTTTCACCCAGTTCAGTCTTGCATCACATTTGTTAATGCTCAGAAGGGAGGAGACATCTACATTTTATTACCGGTACAGGGGAACTCAAGAATGCTTTGATATTTGTTTGTTTGGCTATGTCATTTTGGAACTGATCAACTTAGGAAATCTAACTATGAAACCAGTATTTTTTTCTAGGAATTTTAGGTGTGTAGAGCTGGGGATGTCATGTACCATTTCATACCATGTCATAGGCCTATATTAACTCCATTCCTCATTTTTCAACTGTAGCAACACTAGTAAAGGTTGCATCAGATTTCTTTCAAGGGGTGTCTCCTTGTAAAACCTGCCCAGTGTGTGTGTCTCTGACTGACTGTCTTGAGTTTCAGCCCCAGTGCCCGCAGCATAGCTGTTTGTTTGTCCCCTGTGCAGTTATTACAACGGCATACAGTACATTTTCACAGTATTAGAATACACCCCTGACCACACACTAGGCTTCAATTCGGTGGGACTGGTCCCCATGCTTTACTGTGCCGATTCTTAGCAGGTCAAGCTGCAGATCTAGTGTCGCTATCTGAAAGGGTGGAGGGTGGACTAGGGGGGAGCCATGCCGCACAGTGCCACATGATGCGGAGGGCTCAATGTGCAAAAGGACAAAGATCCCAGAGTCGGTTAGCCAATGAGTTCCATTGTCACTTGACTGTGGTCTAATTTGAGACCAGGGACTGTCCTTGCCATGACTCAGCTTGTGTGTGTGTGTGTGTGTGTGTGTGTGTGTACGTGTCTGTACACCATGCATATATATAGGCTATGTGGGTGTGTACGTGTAGTCGTGTACGTTTACACCATGCGTATGTGTGTTTATTCTTGCAACTGTATGTTTCTAGACCAGCCATGCACCTGTTGCACTGCAGTGAACATATTTTGCTTGATCTCTCCAAACAGTCTGCTGGTACTGTGTGTGTCAGTCACAGCTGGCGGCAGGCAGGGCCTCCCTGGAGCTGCTACCTGGAGTGGTGCCTAGAATCACTGCTCTGCTCCCTCTCAGTCACTCTGTGTGTGTGTGTGTGTGTGTGTGTGTGTGTGTGTGTGTGTGTGTGTGTGTGTGTGTCTGTGTCTGTCTGTCTGTCTGTTAGGCACTCACACAGCAGGAATGACTACACATGTTCAAGGCATGCTTGGATGCACTTCTTCTTACTATAGAATGATTCTTCTTACTATAGAATGATTCTTCTTACTATAGAATGATTCTTCTTACTATAGACCGCTACTGGTCCTGGGACTTCTTTTTTTTGTCTCTTTTATGCAAGTCATCCTCCTCCCTGTCCTCTGGTTAATATAATATACAGTGCCATTAGGCAGGTGCTTTTATCCAAAGCGACTTAGTCAAGCGTGCGTACGTTTTACCTATGGATGGTCCCGGAAATCGAACCCACTACCCTCCGTCCTCATCTACTCTGCTTTTTCTTCAATTTTCCCTCTCTCCTTCTCTCTCCTCATTCCACCTCTCTCCACCCATATGACTGGTGCTGATATTAGTGTCTCAGGTCTTGTCAGTCAACTCTTACTCAGTCTGTTTTTCCCTATTCAGACTCCCTAGTAAGTCTAGCTACTTGAGAATAAGCTAATATTTACAGAGAGAAAATGCTTCAAAACATGATTGCCTTCCAGTCAGTCACTGGCATGCGAAGAGGGATAAGATATCTCCTTTGGTGTTTGATAGTAGTCTGTCTGGCTGTTATTCAGCCCACTAAAGGCACTGGGCACGTGGAGGGGAGGGAGAAATAAACTGTGGACCCAATGAAGTGTCTTTGAACCCAGTCCAGAGCCTCTCCTCAGACCTCCGGATAGTGTGAGCATAACAGCTTTGCAGAAGATGACCATTGATATAATTGAAACAAAACAAGACCCCCTTCATCCTCCTACACACACACACACACACACGTCTGCTTCCATTCCCCATTTTATCGTATCTCAGCACATCTCCCTAGGTATGTGGTCCGAAAGCCGTTTATCTCCTTTCCGACAGTGATTAATGACATATACTTTGAATATTTTTGGATGTGTTCACAGTTATCTGCAACTGTCCTTGGATCCTGTCTGGGCCCTAGCCCAGTATGTATGACACTCCCCCACAATGCAGCTTTTCCAGATTTCCTGCTGTCTATTGTGTCTATTGGAGGATGGTGGCATCCTGGTTCAAGCCCCCGGGCTAACCAAGCACAGCTCCCTCTCTCTCTTCCTCTCTCTCTCTCTTTTGCTCGCTCTCTTCCTCTCTGTCTCATCCTGTCTTACGCCACTCACCCACCTTCTCTTTTCATTTTATTTTCTCTCCCTCCATCCATCTATCCATCCTCTCTTCCCCCCTGCTCCTCTCTCCTCTCCGTCAGTCCAATGTTCTCCCAGTGAAACACCTGAGGAGCAGTCTAAATACTGTCCCACAGCCAGGCCAGCCTCCAGCACAAACACACAATATTTACTCACTCTGGCTGGCTGCCTGCCTCTCACATGCTGCTCTCGACACTCCATCATCCTCATCATTTCTCTGTTTTTCTCCTAGGCCTGTATGCTTTTTATCCTCACACATCTCTCTATTTTCTAGCCCTTTGCACTCCTCTTCTTTCAATCTTCCCATCCTCCCTTCTCTCCCTCTCCTCTCTCCATCCCTTGCGTCCCCTCTTCCTTCTCTTGCTCACCAGTACTTCATGTTCCCATTAGATTGCATATATATTCTGGTGTGTGGTTTCTAATGTTTATAAATCAGGTTGAGATGGTTCAGGAATAGAGGAAAAGTTAAAACAACATGAGCCCTAACTGATAGGTTTTATCCCAGAAAAAGGAAGAAGTGGTGCATTCTTTTATGACATGGGGTTTTATGTCAATTAGTCATTATTATCTTGTTTATTTTTTAATGATAACATGGGATTTCCTGCTTGAACAACCAGAGTTGGCCTAAATATGCACGATTACATTCTTCATGTTAATCCCAGTGTTATCCAATACAATCCGACTTTTGTCATGTTGAGCCTATCCTAAACTTTTGCTTATCGAACTGAGCACATAGCAGCCTACTGTTTCACAGTAAAAGTCAGCACTTTTGGTTTCAGTGCCTTTTCTCATCATTTTCTTTGTGCCTAGAACAAGGCTGATATCAAACGGTCATGGTTGGTGGGCACCTCTGACGAGCAGTGAGGAACGTGAACCAGTGCCATTTCCCTCTCTGTAATGAGAGGATGCAGTAGTGGTACTAATGCACTGAAACAGGACATCCTGTGCATCCTCTCCACAATGGCGTCAATGGCCCCCTAACTAACGTAATACCTCTCCAGTCACACTGAAGAGTTACCAGCAGCGGATCTCCTGGGGACACGGGCTAGAATAAGGGCTCCGCTCTCAACACAACAACACTGGCTTCCAGTAACCACTCTGGAAAGGCCACAGGGTGTCCTGTACTCTGCCTGTTCCATTTAATCTGTACCCTGAGGGGAGAGTATCTCTGAAGCTGGAGACACTTATCTCCCTCACTAACTTTAAGCATCAGTTGTCAGAGCACCTTACCGATCACTGCACCTGTACACAGCCCATCTGAAATTAGCCCGCCCAACTACCTCATCCCTATATTGTTATTTATTTTGCTCATTTGTACCCCAGTATCTCTATTTGCACATAATCTCTTGCACATCTATCATTCCAGTGTTAATACTAATTATAATTATTTTGCACTATAGCCAATTTATTGCCTTACCTCCATAACTTGCTACATTTGCACACACTGTATATATATTTATTTCTGTTGTATTTTTGACTTTGTTTTGTTTTACCCCATATGTAACTCTGTGTTGTTGTTTTTATCGCACTGCTTTGCTTTATCTTGGCCAGGTCGCAGTTGTAAATGAGAACTTGTTCTCAACTGGTTTACCTGGTTAAATAAAGGTGAAATAAAATAAATAAATAAAAAAGTGTGTTCCTGATTAGTTCCAGTACAGGTGCTCATGTATAATGGTGTGTTATACTTTGTGTGTTTTTTTCAGTTCTGCCAGCCAGGAGGATGGAGGGTGTCCCGAGAGAGGAAAGCTCCCACCTTCTTCACGGTGGTGTTGACGGACATCGACTCAGACAGACACTACTGCTCCTGCCTCACCTTCTATGAGGCAGAGGTCAACCTGCAGGTGAGATGGCTTGTTGTACTCCTCAACCCCAACCCCCCTACATGCATATTTTAGTGTTATAGCCAAAGCCACTTACAAGGGCATTATGTAAAATATTATATAAAATCTAATGTATATCTGTAACAGCGTACCCATAATTGCCCTATTCAAAGCAATCAGTTATACGTATGTTTTGACATTTGGTGGTTTTTCATGCCTGTAAACACTTACACACTTGCTGAATACGACTACATGTCCTGCAGTTCCTGGGTTTAGGATCTCGGTCATAAGGGCAACATACACTACCAGTCAAAAGGTTTAGAACACCTACTCATTCAAGGGTTTTTCTTTAGTTTTTACTAGTTTCTACATTGTAGAATAATAGTGAAGACATCAAAACTATGAAATAACACATATGGAATCATGTAGTAACCTAAAAAGTGTTAAACAAATCAAAACATATTTGAGATTCTACAAATAGCCACCTTGACGACAGCTTTGCACACTCTTGGCATTCTCTCAACCAGCTTCATGAGGTAGTCACCTTGAATGCATTTCAATTAACAGGTGTGCCTTCTTAAAAGTTCATTTGTGGAATTTCTTTCCTCTTTAATGTGTTTGAGCCAATCAGTTGTGTTGTGACAAGGTAAGGGGGGTATACAGAAGATAGCCCTATTTGGTAAAAGACCAAGTCCATATTATGTCAAGAACAGATCAAACAAGCAAAGAGAAATGACAGTCCATCATTACTTTAAGACATAAAGGTCAGTCAATACGGAACATTTCAAGAACTTGGAAAGTTTCTTCAAGTGCAGTCACAAAATCCATCAAGCGCTATGATGAAACTGGCTCTCATGAGGACCGCCACAGGAATGGAAGACCCAGAATTACCTCTGCTGCAGAGGACAAGTTCATTAGAGTTACCAGCCTCAGAAATTGCAGCCCAAATAAATGCTTCACAGAGTTCAAGTCACAGACACATCTCAACATCAACTGTTCAGAGTAGACTGTGTGAATCAGGCCTTCATGGTCGAATTGCTGCAAAGAAACCACTACTAAAGGACACCAACAAGAAGAAGAGACTTGCTTGGGCCAAGAAACACGAGCAATGGACATTAGACCGGTGGAAATGTGTCCTTTGGTCTGGAGTCCAAATAGGAGATTTTTGGTTCCAACCTCTGTCTCTTTGTGAGACACGGTGTGGGTGAACAGATGATCTCCGCATGTGTATTTCCCACCGTAAAGCATGGAGGAGGTGGTGTTATGGTGTGGGGGTGCTTTGCTGGTGACACTGTCTGTGATTTATTTAGAATTCAAGGCACACTTAACCAGCATTGCTACCACAGTAGATACACCATCCCATCTGATTTGGGCTTAGTGGGACTATCATTTGTTTTTCAACAGGACAATGACCCAACACACCTCCAAGCTGTGTAAGGGCTATTTGACCAAAGGAGAGTGATGGAGTGCTGCATCAGATGACCTGGCCTCAACAATCCCCCGACCTTAACCAAATTGAGATGGTTTGGGATGTGTCGGGCCGCAGAGTGAAGGATTAGCAGCATATGTGGGAACTCCTTCAAGACTGTTGGAAAAGCATTCCAGGTGAAACTGGTTGAGAGAATGCCAAGAGTGTGCAAAGCTGCCGTCAAGGCAAAGGATGGCTACTTTGAAGAATCTCAAATATAAAATATATTTTGATTTGTGTGTTATTTCATAGTTTTGATGTCTTCAGTATTATTCTACAATGTAGAAAATAGTAAAAAATAAAGAAACACCCTTGAATGAGTAGGTGTTCTAAAACTTTTGACCGGTAGTGTAGGTGAACCACGGTATAGTAGATAGTGCCTACTGCCTCTGCATCTCTTGATAAGCATCACAGGGTTATGTCCGTTCATTTCTGTATCATTTCCAGCTTCTCTCTCTCCCTTGATGAATACTTGATTCCGAGCATCCAGCGGGGGTTGTTTCTACCTCCTTTTTGTTTTTCATTGTGTTGTAATTGTTTTGTTTTTGTCATGTTTTCTTTCATGGCACATTTTTGTACTATTAGGAATTTGTGTCACGGCATGATGTGTTCCAGAACCCACTATAGTGGAAAAAAAAGCAGCACTCTGGATGAATTGAGATGAAGTGAACGACACTTCACATACTGTAGGGTTTTGGTGTGATGGGAGAACATACCTATCCAATGAGCTGACATCTCATCCCCTCTAGCACTGGCTCTTGGATGTACCCATCCTCACATGAATTCAGTTCTATCTTTTGATGTTTTTTCTTCCACACAAGTTCACAAACCCTTGAAATAAACTGAAGCAATGACCACAATCCTCTCAAGGTTTACCCTGATACATTACACAGAATGCCTGGCTGGATGTCTCATTGTGTTTAAGAATATGACTCCTTACAATGGCCTGAAGTGCTGCATTTTGTCCCCTGCCTCTATTAAACACATGACAACCATGGCCATTAGTCATATTCATTCAAGTCAATGACCTTTAGTTCATTGAAATCTGACATTCCTTGAAAGGCCCATTCAATCAGGTGGAATTCTTCTGACCATTAGTCATGTTAATTCAAGAAGTCTTATGACAAAATCAGAAATCTGATTTTCCATGTGTGTTTCAAACAAAGCCTTGGCCTGAGACAAGGTATGAACCACCACATCCGTTATCAAATAAGCGTCATAACGGCTAGGTTAGCTGCGACTGGGTCTCTCTAGCCTGGCCTGGTCTGTGCCTGGGCTGGAAGGTTACGTAACCGGCCCTGCTGTAGACTAATTCCCCTGTCAGGCGCTGTTTGGTGATGTCCTGCAGCTGTCCTCTCTGGGCCGACTGGACCCTCTCCTCCGTGACCAGACGTATTTATTTTCTGTCCTCCTCACATGCCAGTCGGTCTGCTGAGGGAGAGGAGGCGAAGGCCACCCGTAACTATCAGTGCAGTGTCATCGCAGACATTAGTACAGGATCATTAGAGGTCTTGATTACAGGGCTTAATGTGGCCGGTCACCTCACTGCCTCTTCGTCATGGCCCCACCTCTCTGTTTTGGTTTGATTTCTTTCCAGGAACTGTTCCCAGATCCCTTTGTGCACTTGGTAATGGCTCAGATAAGGATAAGAGTTTGGATCACACCCACTGGACAGATGAGGGGATGGTTTCTCACTGTGTACAACTGTGTAGGTGACTGTTGCGGTATTTTATGGTTTAGGGACCAGCTTGATACAGTATACCGTCCACTGCAAAAGTTTGCTTTTCTCAATATTCTCCTCAGACTGTCACGTTTACACTGTTAACAAGGTTAGCAAGATGCTAAAGTAGTTTGAGGTAGTGTTGCACGGTATACCGGTACCACGGTAATATCACGGTACCAAAACGTCATTTTTTTACATTTTACATTTTACGTCATTTAGCAGACGCTCTTATCCAGAGCGACTTACATTATATATATCTTTTTTTTCATACCCCCTGTGGGAATCGAACCCACAACCCTGGCGTTGCAAACACCATGCTCTATCAACTGAGCTACATCCCTGCCGGCCATTCCCTCCCCTACCCTGGACGACGCTGGGCCAATTGCGCGCCGCCCCATGGGTCTCCCAGTCACGGCCGGCTATGACAGAGCCTGGATTCGAACTAGGATCTCTAGTGGCACAGCTAGCACTGCGATGCAGTGCCTTAGACCACTGCGCCACTCAGGAGACTATGACGCAGGAAGTACTATGTCATAGTACTTATGATGCCAACATTTTAGAATACCGTACTACCGTTTCATATGATAATACAACAATTTTCAGTCCTACCGATTTAAATGATAAAATGTTTAGAAAGTCAGTTTTGTTTAGAAATTCAGTTGAATTTAAGCAACAGCAACACTAGTCTCTTGTACAGTGGGGAAAAAAAGTATTTAGTCAGCCACCAATTGTGCAAGTTCTCCCACTTAAAAAGATGAGAGGCCTGTAATTTTCATCATAGGTACACGTCAACTATGAAGACAAAATGAGGAAAAAATCCAGAAATCACATTGTAGGATTTTTAATGAATTATTGCAAATTATGGTGGAAATAAGTATTTGGTAATAACAAAGTTTCCAATACTTTGTTATATACAAATCAAATCAAATCAAATTTTTTGGTACAGCCGAATACACAGGTGCGAATACAGTGAAATCTTACTTACAGCCCTTAACCAACAGTGCATTATTTTAACAAAAAAGTAAGATAAAACAACACAAAAAGTGTTGAGAAAAAAAAGGCAGAAGTAAATAAAGGACAGTAGGGAGGCTATATATACAAAGAAAAAGACGTAGGGAGGTATATATACAGGGGGGTACCGTTGCATTCAATGTGCGGGGACGGCTAGTTGAGGTGTTGAGGTAATATGTACATGTGGGAGTTAAAGTGACTATGCATAAAACTTAACAGAGTGCAGCAGCGTAAAAAGTATGGGGTGGGGGGGCAGTCAAATAGTCCGGTAGCCATGATTAGCTTTCAGAGTTTATGGTTTGGGCCAGTTGATAAGTATACGTCCTGAAGAAGTCTTTTGCACCTAGACTGTCCTTACACTGGTACAAGGTTGCAGATGCTAGTAGTTTGAGGTAGTGTTGCACGTATACGGTCCACGTAATATCACGGTACCAAAACGTGATTTTTTACATTTTACATTTTACGTCATTTAGCAGACGCTCTGTATCCAGAGCGACTTACATTATATATGATTTTTTTTTCATACCCCCTGTGGGAATCGAACCCACCAACCCTGGCGTTGCAACATGCTCTATCACTGAGCTACATCCCTGCGGCCATTCCTCCACTACCCTGGACGACGCTGGGCCATTGCGCGCCGCCCATGGTCTCCCAGTCACGGCTGCTATGACAGAGCCTGGATTCGAACTAGGATCTCTGTGGCACAGCTAGCACTGCGATGCAGTTGCCTTAGACCACTGCGCACTCAGAGACTATGACGCAGGAATAGTACTATGTCATTTTAGATCCGTATTCGTCCTGTTGGAAATTCGTTGGTTTAACATTACCTGGTTCAATAATAAAAAATTTTAATACTTTGTTACTGTTCTCATCTTATATACCCTTTGTTGGCAATGACACAGGTCAAACGTTTTCTGTAAGTCTTCACAAGGTTTTCACACACTGTTGCTGGTATTTTGGGCCCATTCCTCCATGCAGATCTCCTCTAGAGCAGTGATGTTTTGGGGCTGGTCGCTGGGCAACACAGTACTTTCAACTCCCTCCAAAGATTTTCTATGGGGTTGAGATCTGGAGACTGGCTAGGCCACTCCAGGACCTTGAAATGCTTCTTACAAAGCCACTCCTTCGTTGCCCGGGCGGTGTGTTTGGGATCATTGTCATGCTGAAAGACCCAGCCACGTTTCATCTTCAATGCCCTCGCTGATGGAAGGAGGTTTTCACTCAAAATCTCACGATACATGGCCCCATTCATTCTTTCCTTTACACGGATCAGTTGTCCTGGTCCCTTTGCAGAAAAACAGCCCCAAAGCATGATGTTTCCACCCCCATGCTTCACAGTAGGTATGGTGTTCTTTGGATGCAACTCAGCATTCTTTGTCCTCCAAACACGACGAGTTGAGTTTTTACCAAAAAGTTCTATTTTGGTTTCATCTGACCATATGACATTCTCCCAATCCTCTTCTGGATCATCCAGATGCACTCTAGCAAACTTCAGACGGGCCTGGACATGTACTGGCTTAAGCAGCGTAGTGTGTTACAGATGGTAGGCTTTGTTACTTTTGTCCCAGCTCTCTACAGGTCATTCACTAGGTCCCCCCGTGTGGTTCTTGGATTTTTGCTCACCGTTCTTGTGATCATTTTGACCCCACGGGGTGAGATCTTACGTGGAGCCCCAGATCGAGGGAGATTATCAGTGGTCTTGTATGTCTTCCATTTCCTAATAATTGCTCCCACAGTTGATTTCTTCAAACCAAGCTGCTTACCTATTGCAGATTCAGTCTTCCCAGCCTGGTGCAGGTCTACAATTTTGTTTCTGGTGTCCTTTGACAGCTCTTTGGTCTTGGCCATAGTGGAGTTTGGAGTGTGACTGTTTGAGGTTGTGGACAGGTGTCTTTTATACTGATAACAAGTTCAAACAGGTGCCATTAATACTGGTAACGAGTGGAGGACAGAGGAGCCTCTTAAAGAAGAAGTTACAGGTCTGTGAGAGCCAGAAATCTTGCTTGTTTGTAGGTGACCAAATACTTATTTTCCACCATAATTTGCAAATAAATTCATAAAAAATCCTACAATATGATTTTCTGGATTTCTTTTTCTCAATTTGTCTGTCATAGTTGACGTGTACCTATGATGAAAATTACAGGCCTCTCTCATCTTTTTAAGTGGGAGAACTTGCACAATTGGTGGCTGACTAAATACTTTTTTTCCCCACTGTATGTGCAGGTCCAATAATGTCCACTTCACTTTCATGCACATATCACCTGTTGCAGCTGTAATCAGCCAGCCTCATCCCCTTCCAGCCATCACTCACCTGCTTCTTTCCTCTCCGTCCGCTCTTCCTGCGCATCTATTCCTCCGTCAGCTTTTTAAATATAATTTAGCTGTGATGTCGAGGGGGGGATGCGGACCCTGATCAGTCTGCTGCTGTTACATTTCTACGTTTGATACATTGGAGCAGCACTCAGAGCGAGCAAAGTTGTCACACATCAGTGCCAGAGAGTAGAAACAGCTTCACAACAGTCATGTTTGCAGCTTTACAGCAAAGAAAACAGCTTGTCTCTAGCTGAAACGGTTAAAAGAATATGACTCCTATTACCGGAGCTGTCTTTTTTTCCTTCCTGCGCGCATTTTATATAATTTTACAAACCATTCCGCATGCCGTTTTAAACTAATCCCAGGCCGCTAATTATTGTTTTGATAACGTTGTTCAGTCATGTTACCTAGCTAGCTAACATCCTGGTAACTTGATAGTACGTTTAGGCTAATTTGATTGGCCCAGGAAGAAAGTTAAAGGGTCTGTTAATCATGAGATGTGCCTCAAAGGTAGGATTCATAATCTCTCTCTTTCTGGTGCTCCTTACATTCTGTTTGGTGCCTAACGTTTTTAAAGTTGGGAGCAGTGTGTACGTGTTTGTGGGAGAGAAAGGGGTGTGTGTGTTTATGAGGGAGACAGAGAGAGTGTGAGGGAAGGAGTGTGTGTGTGTGTCTTGTCTGTTAACTGAAGAGTAAAGGTTTCATGCAGTGTTTTCCCCTTACTGCCACAATGACATGCAGATCATTATGCATGTTACATTTGACATTTTAGTCATTTAGCAGATGCTCTTATCCAGAGCGACTTACAGTTAGTGAGTGCATACATTTTTCATACTGGCCCCCCGTGGGAAACGAACCCACAACCCTGGCGTTGCAAGCGCCATGCTCTACCAACTGAGCTATAGGGGACCTATAGTAAATTGGGCCTAGTCTGCAAAGCATTTAACTGAGAAGGGCTAACATGGTTTTCGTAGACCCTTGTAAGCCAGCATACAGCTCTGTTTTTATTTAATTTTTACGTGTGGGCATTATCATGCGCCTTACCCTGTAATGTTTAAACCAGCGTGGCTTTTTTCTACGTGATTGGATTCAAGAGGCAGAAATATATTTTCAACGATTATTGAACCAAATCCACAGAATGCTGTAGAAATGTGTTTCCCATCTGACGGGATATTTTGATCCTGTGTTCCCTGCTCGGAGCATGCCAGAGCTCTTGTGGCATGTTTTCATTGTCTGAAGAAATATATGTGATTCTGATAAAGGGTTTAGCCAGGAACGAGCCCTGTGAGGCTGCTATGCTGCTATCTCTGTAAACTGATAGGACTGACGGCTCCTGGTATGGGACAATTGGAACCAGATTGAGACTTGACCACTGAGACTTGACCTCTGTGGAGCACTTTGGGAAGGAGTGGGAGGCATCTTTGGTCAAATCCTTCACCTTAATGACTTAGCCCATATGCTGTTAGTTTAACATGATCACTCAATTGCTATTTATGGTACATTACGCCATGCCCTTTGAACCCAAGTGTCTGGATCTTATTTTAGCTAGGTTTTGAATTATTAATATCCCTACAGGTAGGCCTAGGTCTATCTCCAGTGTGGTTACTGCATCAGAGGTGTCAGAGGTCGAGTAGCTTTTGCTTTAAAAAAAACATAATTGAATTCAGGCTTCAGGGGGTTTATTACAGCTATTTCTATACCGATTACATTTTGTGACTTCGTTTTGTAGGAAATTTATTTTTAAACTACAACCCCTGCCAAATTGAATTTAACATGTTTCAAACCACCATCTCCAGCTCTGAGTTTATAGCCATAGTTTAGAATAACATCTCCAAACCGAAAAATATTATTCCTCGACAACTCAGGGAATCAAAGTAATGACATTGTTGTCTTTAAAATAAATACCCTATTTTGTGAAGAAACAACTCAACAAATGAGAAAGCAGTATGGGTAAATTCCAGACTGGAAGTGGCCTATTCATACTGTATTATTAGAGTTTTCACAACTATTTTAGTAAACCGAGTAATGTGACTTGATGCATAGTTGACTTGATTTCATATACATCTCACTGCTGATTTACGGTTGGCCTTTTTGTCAGTATGTGACACTCCTCTCTTAAGCTCCTGGGTTTCGTTCAAACGGTCTCCATGAAAATAAATGTTTTATGCTCAATTTCTTGGGTTAGTAATCTTTTATGAACCCCATGGTGATTTGAAGAAAATCCTCTTTGCTCTTTCAACTCCTCAACTGTGATGAGTATCTGTTTTAATGGGTACTACATGTTGGAGAGGATGTTTTATAACTCAAAATAAATCTGTATCCCATTGCAGAGGAAACACAGGATTTTGCGTGCACTGTACTCTGTGCCTGCATCATTCAGAATTATTGAGGAGGTTTCCAAAAATAAGCTACAGTTTGTGATGTACTATAGAATGTACACACTGTGGTTTGACCTGGAAGTAGATAACACTAGAGCCACCCTCAGCGGAAAAGCTTTCGTTTATTTCCGATCCCACTCAGGCGTTTCTTTTACGCCTGCTATGTTAGGTTACACTAGAGCCATCCAAAGGGTGACCGCACAGGGTCTTAACTCAACCCCATATCACTGTTGAACTCTCCCATTTGAATAACTTCTGTTTGATGTTTCAGGGAACAAAGACCATCGATGCAGATGAGGACGAGGAAGAGGATGGCTTGATCCAGCCTGCTCAAGTCTTTGCACCCAAAAGTCTCATTCTGGTCTCAAGGCTGGATTATCCTGAAATATTCCGGGTAACTAAAATAGGTTCCTTTCAAAATGTCAGATGACCATTCATAGTGGTCATTTCAGTTTCTGCAGGTATATTTGCGATCTATTATTGACCCGGCCAGAAACATACTTGGTCCTATTCATGAGGTTCATGACTGTTCACGTTACTTATCTCTGCCTAATTAGCGTTGGCATGATAAACCGTAGTCAATGCACTAATTGCTGCGCTATCGATTGTCTCATGATAGTGATAGAATGCATCATGTTGAATCTTGTGTGCATAGAATGAACATATTGGCTTTATAGAGTGAGTTCTGCATGTACTCAAGGCCAGGATATCCAGCCCATTCCTCACTTAAGAACAGAGTGGGGCTGAGCGGATCTCTCTTGTCCCTAGGCACTCCACTGGACCACTACGGCGTTCAACTTTGGCTTTCAAATGTCTCCGACACATATTCCTTTAGCATTTATTTTTAGCTTTGCTTTGCCCAGGCATTTGCCATTGTGCTGTAGGACCCATAAACCACACATCTCAGCTGTACATTAAGAATAATACAGAAAATAGATGACAAATTCCCACACACAGTGTCTCTAATTGTCCAAAACTGTGATTGTGTGTATGTATCTTGCGATACATCTGTGTGTGTTTGTGTATGTGAGTGTGTTGATTGACCTGGCTGTGTGTCTGTCTCCTCCTGATCTCCCCAGGGCTGCTTGGGCCTGATCTACACGGTGTACATCGACAGCCTGCCGTTCCCCCTGGAGGGGCTGGTTTCCAACCTCTTCACGTGCATGGTTCCTGTGGCTGGCGGCTCCCAGGTAAGCAGGCATTACTAAAGCAAATAATTCCTCAAATACCTCCATCTGAGAGGGCCTGTCTAACCCCCTCTCTGCCCCCCTCTCAACCCCTCTGGCCTGCTCTCCACACACACGAATCCACCCCAGGGGTCAGTCTGGGTTAATGTTGCTGCTAGACCCACACAAGGTGCTGATTACACACCGATGGCCTAATGCTTATTATAGTTTCAGTCTCCTACAAGTAGAGCGGGAGTGAGGAAGGAAGAAATGTTTTGGCCCATGTGAGAGTCTAGAAAAATGATTTGCGTTTGCTTTCCATTCAATCATGCATTCCTCGTCTAGATGGTGCCATAGATTGCTGTACCGCCACGCGCAGAAATGTCCTCAAAATACTATTTTATTTTTCTAGCTGGTCTTGTGATGACTTTACTTAGTGAAGCCAGGGTACAAAAAAAAACAGTAGGGGGCATGTTTTTATATTTTCACTTCTCTCTAGGTTATTAAAACCTTTTTTAAAGGTTATTAAAACCCACATCTAAAGCAGTCCTATAACAAAACCCCTACGCTGGTCTGTAGCCCCTTAAAGTCTAGACAATGGTGATCAATGTGGCTTTAAAAAAAACGGACAATATTTCATCTGTGTTTGTAAAGGGGAAGGAATGTGGCCCATGATGAAGTTCACATTCAGAACCTTGGGGTAATTTAGTGTTTTTTATGTAATTTACCAACACATGTCAGTGTTCCTCCTCAAACGATCGCCAAGTGCTTTAGGCTGTAGTGACACAACAAGAGTTAGAAACCTAACTCATCCTTCAACAGACTGTCAAACATGAAGGAATGTCATGAATCAGGGGACAGAGAGTTGTTCTCTAGCTGGTTCAAACTCAGTTGAAAATAACAGAAAGGCTATGCTCCCAATTACTACCTTTATTGACAAAATTTCGATCCACAAGGATCTTCGTCAGGTCAAAAGCCAAACTCCATTGAACCACTGTCTGTACCTCTGTCATGTTCAACATTGGTTTAACTGAATTAGACGCAGTGATTGTGTTCACGTCAACACACACCGATTCAACTGTACGCTTACTTCTGGACCCTCAGCCACATTGAATATAGGGACGGACATGGTTAACATGCAATTGAGGTTTCTCCCATTGCAGCCGGACTGATTCAAAAGGCTAATTCAGTCATGCAGCTGCGATGTCCATCTGGTTCAACAACACGTGTTTTATTCATTTTCTGGGAGATCGTCAAAAAAACACTCACACAGTGGATCCCTTAACTGCCATTGTACTGTCATTTCTCCCTTGCCTATATGACCTTTGGCCTTGTACGGAGGTACAGTCTTGTTCAGTTTCCTAATGATATATACAGTACCATGACAACAGAGGCATGATGTCTGTTAAAAACATTTTCCATCTCTGAAACTGTTGTACGGTCTTGTCTAGTTCTAAGATAGATCCATCCAATGGTTTTGGATATAACCTATAACTTTTCACTTTTGTGTTTTTTGTGATTTTCCCACAGAAACTGTTTTCCCTGGGAGCTGGCGACCGACAGCTAATCCAAACCCCTCTGAATGACAACCTGCCTGTTACATGCAAGAGTGTGGCCATGCTCTTCCAGCAGCTTGGTATGTCACTGGGCTTCTGCTTCCTCATTACTACACTACAGTACAACCAGTCAATCCCAAACTCAATGAACTCGACTCCACTTTATGGCACCATCATGTTCCCGACGTTATTTAAAGTCTTGTTTGCATCGGGTCTACTTAGCTGCAGTACAGTTAGCCCTATGCTGCTCTGCCTGTTGGTCACATACAGTCACAGTATACACAACTCCCATTGTAATTTAGCTTGTGCTTCCTAGCAACATGCTTACGCGGGCGGCTCAAATAACCTGACAGCTGAATACTAACTGTAGTGCCAGAAATTAGGAATATCCCTCTTAATCATATTGTTTGCATCATTTTCTTAGTTTTTTTTTAGTAAGTAGCTTAGTTGTATGACAGGTTATCCGGTCTTGATCCTTGATGGTATTAAACATTTTTAGGTTCAACTCCAACATTAAGAGGTTTAGAGCTACTAACGCGGATGATCACATGGTTATGAATAAAGCATCTGTCCAAATCACAATTTTAAACTCTCAAATTGAATAGCCACTAAGCAGTTGGATTAATGCTGTAGAAATGAACAGTGAAGACAGTGCTTACCAAGAAGACAGTGAATGTTCCTGAGTGGCCGAGTTACAGTTTTGACTTAAATCTGCTTGAAAGTTGATGGCAAGACCTGAAAATGGTTGTCTGGCAATGATCAACAACCAATTTGACATAGCTAGAAGAATTTTGAAAAGAATAATGGGCAAATGTTGCACAATCCAGGTGTGGAAATCTCTTAGACACTTACCCAGAAGGACTCAGTTGTAATCGCTGCCAAAGGTGACTGAGTGGTTTGAAAACATATGTAAATGAGATACTTCTGTTTAATTTTTCATAAATTCTAACATTTGTAAAAAAATATATAAAAAATAAATAAATAAAGAATCTTCCACTTTGAAATTACAGAGCATTTTGTGGAGCTCGTTGACAAACAATTATAATTAAATCAATTTTAATCCCACTTTGTAACAACAATGTGGAAAAAGTCAAGAGGTGTGAATATTTTTCTCAAGGCACTGTATGTATACTCCTTTACTAGGATGTATGTAGTCTGTTTTGCATTCTTGTACACAGGACGTTGCTTTGCTGTGGTTTGGTGGCTTCACATTACCATACATTGTCCAAAATTCCTGCTCACTTCATTTGTGCGTACACTGGTCTCAAGTATGTGGTTTTATCAGGTCCTTAATACACTCAAATCACCGCAGCAGTCAAGTCTACATTCCATGGGCCGATGTTGGGGGCGAGTTAGTAAATAAGTGAAATCCAATCAAATGTTTCTGATGCTTTCTTTTATTTGTAATGGAAAATAGGCCCTCATTTAGTGTGATTAGAAGAATGTGTTACAAAACGAAATGGATTATGTTTCTTGTAAGCATTAGGCCCTGAACCCCTTGAGGAATTCAATAATAGTTTGCATGCTCCTTTGTGTTTATTTGGACAGCGAGCAGTGGACGTGCACACGGGGGGGTACTTTACCGATACACAAATGATCAGGGTCATGTGTTTGTAGCCAATCTGGATATACACAGAGATGGAGGAAGAGAAATGGCCTGTACCTTGACATTATCCTCAGCCATGGTTTGTGTCAGTCCTCACCAACTTTGTTTTTGTTACCAAATACTGCACGTTATCCAGGGAACAGTCCACAAAGCTAATAAAACGGACCCGATTCATATGTCTCTCTCTAAATTGTACATTCCAAAGTGTAGAATTTACCCGGAGCTTGATAGAGGATAGGTCTAAACTCCTCTGGTCTAGACAGCTGTTTTTGGAGTCACAGGAGGAGATGGGGCTTGTTACTGTGCAGCTCAGTCCAACCATCAGGAGGAATGTCTCTGTGTGTTGTGATGTGTCCAGTCCTCCCTAAGCTGGATCTGAAGATGGCCCCTGGCCCTGACAGATGATGATAGGCAGACAGAGAGGGCTGGGCTCCTCACACCACTGCTGTTTGCTTACAGTACCCTTGAACAGGACTGCCTGTAACTCTTAAGAGATACTCTCTTTCATGTCCTTGGGCTACAGGTGATGTGACTGATGTCCTGTAAGAACTGATCAGTACTGCATGATATCATATGGAGGATAGGCATTCCAACAGCTCCAGAAACGATCAGATCATGCGTCTCGTGTAAACGAAGCCCTTGCATCTCCCATCCATCACTGCTGTTATACAATGCAAACTGAGAGTATGTTCTGAGTGCATAATCAGTGTTTCCCATATATTAATTTAGCAGGGGCGGGCCGCTGCTGCTAATTTGTTGCCGCCACGTTTAAAAAAAAAAAATCTCTGCCGAGACGCACTTTTAAGGTCAGAGTGACAAGTTACAATGTTTATTTGTACCAAGTAGCATTGGATGCATTTAGTCTTTTGAGGTTTTGCAATTAAGTAAATACAGATTGCAACCCCATGCTTCAGGCTATTTATTTAAAGGGGTAGTGCAGTTGAAAACATAATTATCCTTTAAAAAAAAATATATCCACACTATGAGGTCGAAATAACACTCTGAAATGGTGAAAATGATGATAATGGCCTTTTGTGTAAGAGCTGTTTGGGGGAAAATGTCCTGGATTTCAGCATGTTCAGGTGGGATGGAACTTTTGGCCTACATGATTACGTCACAGTGTGGTCTGATTATAATAGACCAATGACTGTTCATCTAGGTAAGGGGGTAGGATCTAGACCATCAGGGCTGTGTATGTTAATACAGTATCTTCAAATTTGTTTCCTAACGTCCACACGATCAGACTGAGCATTTCAAGGGCCAAAGGAGACTCATGCGGTGATGATTTTAAAATACAATTACAAAGACTGCATGAGGGCGTTAAAGCCACTATGCTGCATTAGTTGAGCAGGTTATTTTCATCAATGTTTTTCTAGAATGTCCTTTCAAAAAGTCAAGTCAAGTGACCTTCTCACATTCATTCTACCTTTGCCACCGCTGCTGAAAAAAATTGTAGGGGAAATACTGCAAGTGTTTGAGTATCGTGACAATGCAACCGCTGCACAGCCCAAGGTCGGATCATATGTCAGAACATGTTCTCTCATTACTTGTATTCCATGAATCAGCAACAGATTTGCTCTCCATGTTGGCTGGGCTGTGTCCTCTTCCACCTCTGGTTGGAGGGTCTATTTAAAGCCATGTGTTTGTGTAACATTATTTAGGGTCGGAAATGTGTTGCTGTTTCCAATAGATATGTAAACACCTGAAGGACACTAAACGAGCCAGGCAGCTTACCTCAGGACGCCATTATGAAACCTAATCGACTGCCAAGCGCAAAAATGCCAGATTAATCACCTCAGACCTATGCACTTCCACAGAGGAAGTCATGTTGAGGTGACAGAGAATGAGCCAAGTGACCAGCCTGTGTCGCTTTGAGAGATCCAGGTATTCAGTCAACAACGGAACAGACAATGTCTATGTTCATGTTCCGGTTCCTGTTTATCATCAGGGCCTATCTGAGCTGGAGGCAGACACAGAATCAGTGACCTCAGTTTGTTAGGGACTGCGGATATGTCTGCCACTGTTCTGTTGTCTTAATCTCTGTAATGTGTGATGGATGGGTCTACCACTAGGTTGATAGGAAACAATAACAGGAACTGTAAACTTGAGAATTTGTCTTGACTGTCATATTGGTATTTGACTGATTATTTATATAGTCTCATAACGTGTCATTTTCTCTGGCTATTTTTGAGATTGTATTTTCCTTATCATTAATGATATACACTGAGTGTACAAAACATTAGGAACACCCTTTTGCCCTCAGAACAGCCTCAATTCGTCGGTGCATGGACTCCACAAGGTGTCGAAAGCGCTCCAAAGGGATGCTGGCCCATGTTGACTCCAATGTTTCTGTCAAGTTGGCTGGATGTCTTTTGGGTGGTGGACCATTCTTGATACACACAGGAAACTGTTGAGTGTGAAAAACCCAGCAGCATTGTAGTTCTTAACACACTCAAACAGGTGCACCTGGCTCCTACTACCATACGCCATTCAAAGGCACTTAAATCTTTTGTCTTTCCCATTCATCCTCTGAATGGCACACATACACAATCTATGTCTCAAGCCTTAAAAATCCTTATTTAACCTGTCTCTTCCCCTTCATCTACACAGATTGAAGTGGATTTAACAAGTGACATCAATAAGGAGTCATAGCTTTCACCTGGATTCGCCTGGTCAGTCTGTCAAGGAAAGAGCAGATGCTCCTAGTGTTTTGTACACTCAGTGTATAATGTACACTGTACTGTTTGGTAGCTGAAATTGCATTGTTTTTCCACCTGTTATCCCTGTGGACAAAGAATAACATTGTTTTCTCAGCTATTTGTTCGTGATTAGTCAGAATGTAATAGTGTATAATATACTGTCAGTAAAGGGAGGGAGAGGTTTTCAAAATGTTGTGATACATGTACTTTGGTTTTCATACAGTATGTCTCTGCAAAACAGATCTTTCCTCCCAATTATTTCAACAAACAGCTAGTCACATAGAATATGTGGTGTTATCAATCATTCTATCACCCCAAATAAATATAATTTACTCAATGTTGTTTGCTCAGCTTAGAAATAAAATCCACCCCCAACAGTATGTTTTTGTTTTATCTATTGTCCAACCGAATACCTCATTAATTACACATTCTCTCTACTTTCTTCTGCTAGGAATCCAGAATGTTCTGAGTCTTTTCTGTGCGGTTCTGACCGAACACAAGGTTTTGTTCCATTCCACGAGTTACCAGAGACTAGGGGAGGCATCGCGTGCTCTGGAGGCCCTCATGTTCCCCCTCAAATACAGGTACGTGATTGGTCCGTTGTTCTCCACATTCCCCAATCAGTCTCCATTACACCTCGGCTATTGACATGACTTGTCTTGCACCAAGTGTGACTTGACTGATAATGTTTATTTTTAATGTTTCTTATTATCGTTATTTGTTTCTTTCTCAGTAAAATTCTTTCACTTAGGCTGGCTTTGATTATGAGTCCATTGAAAGTTCTAACATTTTAAGATGTTCGTGTCAATTGCGTTGCCAACTGACTTTCTGTGACAAAACAAAACAACATTCCAAAATGGTCTTGGTTATCTTTTCTCATATGTCTTTAAGATGAATACACTTACTGTAAATCGCTCTGGATTAGAGCGTCTGCTAAATGACTCAAATGTAAATGTACTTGAAAGATTATTCTCTGGTTTACTGAACACCAAAATGGTCACTTTGAGCACAACAGTTTGATGTAGAATTTGACCTGGCAATTGTTGTGTGTGTTTACTCACTGTCGTCTCCTGTTTGAAACTCAGTTACCCATACATCCCCATCCTGCCGTCACGGCTGCTAGAGGTGCTGAGCTCACCCACCCCCTTCATCATCGGGGTCCACTCCATGTTCCAGAGCGAGATCCAAGAACTGGTGAGTGATCTTTAGCACCTTCTCCAGACGTTAACTGCCTCTGACCCTGACTCAACATGTACAGTACACCAGGGATAACAACATACCTTTATTTAAGCTGATTCCTTGAAAGCTTGCCCAATGTAACCAGTTGCCTATGAATCATGTAGCCTTATTATATATTTCAGTCATTGTACATTAAGGGAATGTTATGCTGAGCTGACATTCCTTACGCTGGGAAGTGTAGATTGATGCGGCCTCCTGAGTCCCTTAGTCTCAGGGAGTTGTGACTCATCCACTGTGTTGGCCAAGTGCCTGTTTCAGCCGGTTTCGGCCTTAGTTTCTCTTATATGCTCTGTCATAGTAATGTAGAATGTGCTCTACAGCTAAACTAGGAATCTAACTAATTCGAAAGGATTGTTTAGTGGTGTGTATTGTCTGTCTTACAGTTGGACGTTATCATAGCTGATCTGGATGGAGGAACCATAAAGATTCCAGAGTGCATCCACCTGTCCCAGCTCCCTGAACCACTGTTACACACCACACAGTCTGCCCTGTCTCTGGTACGTACCTGTTACACCACACAGACTGCCCCGTCTCTGGTACGTACCTGTTACACCACACAGACTGCCCCGTCTCTGGTACGTACCTGTTACACCACACAGACTGCCATGTCTATGGTAGGTACCTGTTACACCACACAGACTGCCCCGTCTCTGGTACGTACCTGTTACACCACACAGACTGCCCCGTCTCTGGTACGTACCTGTTACACCACACAGACTGCCCGGTCTCTGGTAGGTACCTGTTACACCACACAGACTGCCATGTCTATGGTAGGTACCCAGCATACACCACAGCCTCTGTCTGTAAAGGCTGAATGCTCACCCTTGGAAGTCACAGATGCCAATTAGACATTTCACATTAGATCATAATGAGAATGTGGTTTGTTGCAAACAGCTGTATAATTGTATGTCCTTATGTAACTAGTCTAGTTATTGTAATGGATATTTGTTTATGTAATCTGAACAATAAAAGTGTACTGAGGAACGAACAAAATAATAAGTCAAGACTAAGAGGCATTTGTATTATTTTCAGGTTTTGCATCCTGATCTGGAGATAGCTGACAATGCCTTCCTACCCCCTCGCACAGCCCCCTCCAATCTCAAACTGTTGGTAAGGCACCATCATTCCAGTAAACACAGTGTCTTCACCCTTAACCCCTGGCCATGTCTCAATGTAATAAATGGAGTCTCTTCCCAAAACATCATGTGTTTGTGAAATGAGGGGGACACCACTGCTCTGAGATATCTCCTATAGCACACTTGTCTCTTGTCCGACCTATGAATAGCACAAGAATGTGAACTTTAGTGGGGGTTTCGATTTCTTCAGACGGTAGAATAATCATGTTAAGATGTGAACTTGACTGAATAAACAAGGTGGTATTCATGGCATGTTTGTGAGGTGACTCTCCCCTCTCTCCCTTGTGTTTCAGGATAAGGAGGTGAGAGCCGTGTTCCTCAGGCTGTTTGCACAACTCTTCCAGGGCTACAGGTCCTGCCTGCAGCTTATCCGCATCCATTCCGAACCTGTTATCCACTTTCACAAGGTGAGATCAATGCACTTCCGTTCAACTCAATCTGGGTGGGTCAAAAATTCTATTGCCAATTGAAGCCATGATGATGACACACTTTTGTCACCCATGCTGTTGTAATCCAGTAAAATATCTCATTTCACTGATCACTGCAATGTAGATGGTTACCTTTCTTTTTCAATTTGTTTGTCCCCATTAACATTTAATAGGTGGAGTGCTATCAATTAATGTGCTGTAACAAAGGCCCTGCAGGCTGAAGTTTATCCCTTGTTCTCACAACCTGTAAAATAATGTTTGGAGAGAAACCAAGAACAAGAGGATAATCTCCTATCCTGTCTTGTCCTGTCTGATAAAGCTGTTTGGAGGTGTTTTGTTTTAGTGTGTGTGTTTTTTTGATGCGCTTTAGTGACTGACTGTATGACTCTTCACCATGGCTATCTGCTTGTTTGTGTTATGTGCTGTCAGCCTTGGCCAATGGCCTCGCGATGAGCCATATGAAATGTATCAAATCAAAAATATCAAAAATAGCTGGGTTTGTATTTGTTTGTGTCTGCGGCGTCTCCGTGGTAACCTCCCAGCACGTCCCTCTCAAAGTACCCCACATGGCTCGGATTATGGGCCAGGAATTCTACAGAAGCTCACCACTTTTTTACGGAGAGGCGTAGACTAGGGAGACCAGAAAAACTGCCCCCATTTCTATCTCTGTCACCCACTAGCACGAAGCACAAGCCTAATTCAGCAGATAAAGCTTGCTTTTCTTTGCATATAGTCAACTTCAGTCATTTGTTTCACTTTTGTGACTGGGTTCATTGTGAAAAGGGAAGAGAAGCTACTCCGATAAGGAAAGTAAAGCTGTTACAGTCCTAAACCTACATCTTTATGTACCTACCATTTATTTAACCTTTGACCCTGTCCCCCTACAGACTGCCTTCCTGGGCCAGAGAGGCCTGATCGAGAACGACTTCTTGACCAAGGTTCTGGATGGCATGGCCTTCGCTGGCTTCGTGTCCGAGAGGGGTCCGCCTTACAGAGCCTGTGATCTCTTTGATGAGGTACTGTCCAGCATGGCTACTGTAACCAGACTCATTTCACTGTTGTGTATGAAACTGGGCTTGTCGAGAGATTTTATCGTTTGGGAACAGCTTGACTGACTTATTGTTGGTTCTGTAGCTGGTGGCCTTTGACATGGAGCGCTTTAAGGAGGAGGAGGCCAGCCCTGCCAAGCTGCAGAAGCACATGAGGGAACTCTCTGAACAGCTGCACAAAAATGTGAGTTAACATCACTCAGCCGCTGGGCCTGTATAGTATAGTGTTCATACAGTGGGGAAAAAAAGTATTTAGTCAGCCACCAATTGTGCAAGTTCTCCCACTTAAAAAGATGAGAGAGGCCTGTAATTTTCATCATAGGTACACGTCAACTATGACAGACAAAATGAGAAAAAAAAATCCAGAAAATCACATTGTAGGATTTTTAATGAATTTATTGGCAAATGATGGTGGAAAATAAGTATTTGGTCAATAACAAAAGTTTCTCTACTTTGTTATATACCCTTTGTTGGCAATGACACAGGTCAAACGTTTTCTGTAAGTCTTCACAAGGTTTTCACACACTGTTGCTTGTATTTTGGCCCATTCCTCCATGCAGATCTCCTCTAGAGCAGTGATGTTTTGGGGCTGTCGCTGGGCAACACAGACTTTCAACTCCCTCCAAAGATTTTCTATGGGGTTGAGATCTGGAGACTGGCTAGGCCACTCCAGGACCTTGAAATGCTTCTTACGAAGCCACTCCTTCGTTGCCCGGGCGGTGTGTTTGGGATCATTGTCATGCTGAAAGACCCAGCCACGTTTCATCTTCAATGCCCTTGCTGATGGAAGGAGGTTTTCACTCAAAATCTCACGATACATGGCCCCATTCATTCTTTCCTTTACACGGATCAGTCGTCCTGGTCCCTTTGCAGAAAAACAGCCCAAAAGCATGATGTTTCCACCCCCATGCTTCACAGTAGGTATGGTGTTCTTTGGATGCAACTCAGCATTCTTTGTCCTCCAAACATGACGAGTTGAGTTTTTACCAAAAAGTTATATTTTGGTTTCATCTGACCATATGACATTCTCCCAATCCTCTTCTGGATCATCCAAATGCACTTCAGACGGGCCTGGACATGTACTGGCTTAAGCAGGGGGACACGTCTCGCACTGCAGGATTTGAGTCCCTGGTGGCGTAGTGTGTTACTGATGGTAGGCTTTGTTACTTTGGTCCCAGCTCTCTGCAGGTCATTCACTAGGTCCCCCCGTGTGGTTCTGGGATTTTTGCTCACCGTTCTTGTGATCATTTTGACCCCACGGGGTGAGATCTTGCGTGGAGCCCCAGATTGAGGGAGATTATCAATGGTCTTGTATGTCTTCCATTTCCTAATAATTGCTCCCACAGTTGATTTCTTCAAACCAAGCTGCTTACCTATTGCAGATTCAGTCTTCCCAGCCTGGTGCAAGTCTACAATTTTGTTTCTGGTGTCCTTTGACAGCTCTTTGGTCTTGGCCAATTAGGCACTTTCTGTACTCTTTAGTGTTATAGGATGTCCTATGGCCGTCACAGATGTTGATGGTGTTGTGCGTGTCTGTATATTTTATTATTGAATGGTCCATTCCAGGAGAATCCCAACCCCCACATGGCATTCCAGAAAGTGCCTCGGCCCACAGAGGGCTCCCACCTGCGGGTGCACGTGGTGCCCTTCCCCCTGCTGGATGATGAGAAGGTGGAGAGGCTGCTGGCGGAGGGCCTGGCCAAGCATCCCAGTGCCCCTGCCATCACTAACACCACCCGCGCAGAGAGGAAGTGTGTGGTGCCCGCCGGCCCCCCCATGGGTACGTGAGACACAAACATCAGCTCTACTCCATGCCTGCTCCTGTGTGAGACTAATGGCTTGGCAGGAGTCTATAATGTGTTAATAGCTGTTAGTAATTAGTTGCTGAGTATTGAATTGTGTTTGTTCTAGTGTTGCTAGTATTTCTACCACTCTTCTATTCCTAACCTGCTCGCCCTCATCTCTCATCTGTGCAGTGTCCATCATGGGGAATATGGGCTCAGTGTTCAACAGCGCTCGCAGGCTGGAGGTGGTGAGGAGCTGCATCGCCTTCATCTTCCACAACAAGACCCAGGAGACAGAGAAGGTGACGCCCTAATCCCTGTCTCTCAGCACAGTGTAATCAGCCTCGTCTGTAATGGCCCAGACATCCATCCCTCCGATTACAGCAGGCAGGCAACCGTGTGTGTCTGTCTGGAGTTAGCACTCTCAACATCATCAGGCTAATTATACCTCCCAGCTGGGAGAAATGACCACACTGGAGACAGATAATCAAACACTTAGACTAACCTCATAATCTCCTCGTTATCAGCAGAAATAACCCGATTGTTTTAACACCGAGGTTAATGGCATAGCTGTTTTGCTTTCTGTTTTCCCGTAAAGCATTTACACATAAATGATGCTCTTTGATTTCCCGGCACCGTGGCACCCCCTATAGGAGAGCCTATAGGAACATTGATGGGGTGTCCCATATGTACTGTATGAAATGGGACGGGAGCCAGTTCCTTTATGCCTGCACCACTGGCTGTAATAAGCAGGTTATATAAGGCAGACGTGCATCCCTGTGTCGGTAGAGGAACACCGGGTACTCCAGCTATAGCCCCCCCCCCCCCCCCCCCCCCCCGAGCCTATAAACCCTTCACCTCAATATACATTATACAGCCAATGTGAAAACCATTACCCAGACGCATGGCCATCGCATCTTTCCTCTTAGTTTGACATTAGTATAAAATGTGTCGGATTAATATTTCCCAGAGGTCAACAATTCACTGTCTGGACTGGTAATATTGTAGCTGATATTGTACCTGTTCCTGAGCTCCTGCAGCGCTACTAGCTTGGAACTGCTTGGTTCTACAATTCAGGGACGTAACGTTCTGAGAAGTTAAATCAATTCGCAGATTATTATCCCCACTGTTTTTGTTCATGAATGTTGTGGTGTGCCTTATGGTATTTGTGTTAAAGACAGGCTCTGTGTCTGCTGTGCTGTGTCCCCAGACCCTGCCGGCTGCGCTGCGTGCTCTGAAAGGCAAGGCGGCTCGCCAGTGTCTGACTGAGGAGCTCAGTCTGCATGTCCAGCAGAACCGGGCCATACTGGACCACCAACAGTTTGACTACGTCATCCGCATGATGAACTGTGCCCTCCAGGTGGGTCAAAGCCAGTCTGCCCCTGTCATACCTAAGTGATGTGACTCTTTCAGAACAATCCAACTGGCTCTGTTATTAAAGGTCAGTGTACGGTATGTCCCTCCACGAGGTAGTTAACATCCCTCCTAAAAGCCTCTGAATGTCAACGTACTCCTTTTACAAAGGATGGAACACTGTTTTCTAATAGCTAATGTACAGTAAGTATCCAGATGTCAGTGGCAGCCTTTTTTCTTGGGTGTTCCCTAGCGTTCTCACAGAGGCATTAACAGGTAAACCACAAAATATTTGAGGAGCAGGAAGCAGTAGTTTGTTTCCAGGCTCTACCTTTAAAACAATCCCACTCTGGATGCGATGGCGTGTTTTCATAGGCTTTAACTGGTTCTAATTTAGTGCATCTGAAGTTGTCTATAATGGAAACAGTACGAGACAGAGAGAGCGTGCTGGCTAATCAAGCGCTAAGCAGACAGCTCTGGCAGGGTAATGTGATGTAGAGCTATGCCTGCTCCACCACTCAGTGGTGGAAAAAGTACCCAATTGTCATAAAGATACGTTAATAGAAAATGACTCAAGGAAAAATGAAAGTCACCCAGTAAAATACTACTTGAGTAAAAGTCTAAAAGTATTTGGTTTTAAATTTACTTAAGTGTCAAAAGTAAATGTAATTGATAAAATGTACTTAAGTATCAAAAGTAAAAGTATAAATCATTTCAAATTCCTTATAGTAAGCAAACCAGACGGACACCATTTTCTTTTTGAATTTATTTACGGATCGCCAGGGGCACGCTCAAAACTCAGACATTATTGACAAACAAAGCATTTGTATTTAGTGAGTCCGCCAGATCAGAGGCAGTAGATGACCAGGGATGTTCTCTTGATAAGTGCGTGAATTGGACCATTTCCCTGTCCTGCTATGCATTCAAAACCATTACCCAGACGCATGGCCATCGCATCTTTCCTCTTAGTTTGACATTAGTATAAAATGTGTCGTATTAATATTTCCCAGAGGTCAACAATTCACTGTCTGGACTGGTAATATTGTAGCTGATATTGTACCTGTTCCTGAGCTCCTGCAGCGCTACTAGCTTGGAACTGCTTGGTTCTACAATTCAGGGACGTAACGTTCTGAGAAGTTAAATCAATTCGCAGATTATTATCCCCACTGTTTTTGTTCATGTATGTTGTGGTGTGCCTTATGGTATTTGTGTTAAAAACAGGCTCTGTGTCAGGCTAAGTACGTGAATTGGACCATTTCCCTGTCCTGCTATGCATTCAAAATGTAACGAGTACTTTTGGGTGTCAGGGAAAATGCATGGAGTAAAAAGTACATTATTTTCTTTAGGAATGTAGTGAGGTAAAAGTAAAAGTTGTCAAAAATAAAAATAGTAAAGTACAGATACCCCAAAAAACTACTTAAGTAGTACTGTAAGTATTTTTACTTAAGTACTTTACACAACTGCCACCACTCAGATAGCTTCCTAGGGTACACAGGCCTCTGGCAACAACACATGCTGCTACTGCACCATACATACTCTCACTGCCCTTCTCCCTTATCTTAGTCATGCTTGGCTGCAGGCGGAAGAATGGCCAAATCATACATTTTCCCAGTGAATTATGCTCAAGTTAGTCTTCATTTACAATAGTTTGACAGGCTGTCAATAGTAAGTGCTCACTGCACCCCACATATCTAGTAAAAGGTTGGTGTTTGATGTACCTGGGTACTATTGGGTTTTTGTCCTATCGCTTCGGTTATTAGTCAACGCGATTAGTCGCAGGGATGGGCAACTCCAGTCCTCAGGGGCCTGATTGGTGTCACACTTTTGCCCCAGCTAGCACACCTGATACCAATAATCAACTACTCTTGCTCTTCAGTTTAGAATGCAATTAGTTGAATCAGCTGTGTTTGCTAGGGATGGGGGGAAAGTGTGCCACCAATCAGGCCCCTGAGGATTTTAGTTGCCCACCCCTGGTTAGTGGTTTATTCTGTTCTCCCTCTGCTGCACACGCCCCATAAAGTTTCACTCTGCCGTCAATCAGGTGGGAGAGGAGGGTTCTGAGAGGAGGGCCGGAGCTCAGAGCTGAGGCCTCAGTGGTAGTTCCTCATGTTTTACAGCCTCACATGGCCATTGTCACGGGGATTTAATGATTCGGAGCAGTGTTCACAGAGAGCGACTTTTATGGAGTGGCTCTGGATTCCACGCATTCTTCTGGCCAAATGATCAAGGCCGGCAAGCCAATTAATCTCACCATCTGCCTTTAGCCTGGGTGTGTAGAGGTCACTGGACGTGTCACTGGCCTCCCCACTTGTAAAATAGGTCAAGAGCCAGCCAGCCAACCAGTGAGAGAATTCTGGTTTGAATGGTGGATGTGTAGTTTATACATGAGAGATATATATGCTCTCCCTTCCTGTGCTCCTGTCGGCAACGCAGGTTCTAGGACCTGTGCCATACCATCTGGTTTCAGTTGCCCCCTGCATGCATAGGTAACCCCATGTCTTCAGTATCTGAGTCCAGGTCCCACTCAGTCCAAGCCAAGGCAGTGATGGAATGAAGCTGCTGGTCCTGCAGTAGTCTCCCTGTGGTACAGAGCTGTTGAAAGGCACCACAATGACACTGGGCCTCGTTTTATAATAACTGCAGATTAGTCTTCTTTGTTGCTAGATCTGTCTGGCGAATACCGGACCGTTCTGGAATGTACAGAACAATGTAGAAATGCTTGTCTATTAGGTTGTTTAATGTGGCTGTTTTATCTGATAGCTGGACTGCAAGCGTGTCTGACATGTATTGTGTTTCTCCCCGAAATGGGATCCTGATGTGGAGTTATTTTTTTTCAAGGAACAGATTAATAGTATTTCTGCAGATAAATATTTTTTTCCCTCAAACTGGACGTGAGCATTTTCATTGACGTTGCATTGGGAATACTGAATCCCTAGAAAGATGCTATAAAGCGAAGCATGTGAGATGCATTCAATACCAACCTTCAGAGTTGATTAGTCAGGATAACAACCACGTGTGAGTGTGTGCACCCCGGACCAGAGGATTTTTATATAAAGAGCCAAGCGCAGCGGAGTGACTTAATGTGCACTCATACAGACTGTCTCTCTAGTACTGTGTTTGGTCCAGGGCGCACTTGGCAGGGTTTCCCATAATACAGCATGGAACATGTCAGGAGAGGGTGACAGGCTGGAGAGAGGGGAGCAGAGGGGTTCTCTCTGGCTGTGGCACAAAGACAGATAAGCATCAGTCAGGGGCGCCTGTCTCTCCTCAACAACCACTATTCAAACCCAAACAACAGATGGAGAGTTGCAGATAGAGTCCACCACAAGAGATGGACATCTCCACACCAAAACATCCCCAGTGCATCTGAGATGAACTGCCTGTCTGCATAGTACTGCACTGCTGGTGACCTAGTGTCTTCACTCGGTTAGGCCCTTTAAGGTAGATGGATAGAGGCCAGAGTGTATATTATCTCCAAACCTTCAGGGTTCTCATTTCACCAGACATTCCTGTCTTATTTTGATTGAATCTCTGCTTTGCCTCTCAAGACAAAATAAGCAACAATTTTACACATCTAGCCGGTATTTACAATGGAGCAAGGGTTTACTTGCCAAAAGGTCAGATAAAACATAGCGAACATTTCTCTATAATTTTATTTAGCTTTACAGTGTAATACTGTATTGTTATTTCTCCCCTATATTTTCACTAAGGCAACAACAGGCCAGAGGTCCATCCATTTTGCAGTTACTTGGTTCTGATTCGGTGTCCTGGTCTGTAGCCCAGGTCGATGGATTTGTCTCAGATGGGCTGTAAAAGGAACAGAAATAGCAGATTGCCTCGGCAGTAATTACTCTCATATTTTATTTTCACCCCTCTCCTCTCAAAGCCCCCTGTCAAAAAGCCCTTGGAGATATCACAGATTGCACCGATGCCAGTGATTATGCTGCGTGTGTGTGTGCGAGAGTGTGTGTGATCCCTCAACACCCCACAAAGCTAGTGTGACCTCTACAGTGTGCTATGCACCACAGTCTCTGTACAGTGACAGAATGATGCCTCATTAGAACGGGACGGGAGGCATGTGTTTTTCTATCTAAAAACATCTCACATTCCTGATGATATCATCATCCTAAGGCCAACCAAGAGTTTATAGGCCACATGTAACATGTCAGTTTGGGGCTAACCGTAGGGGTGCGTACTGGGAAAGGGGATACCGAGTCAGTTGCACAACTGAATGCATTCAACCAAAATGTGTCTTCCGCGTTTAACCCAACCTCTCTGAATCAGAGAGATGCGGGGGGCTGCTTTAATCGACGTCCACATCATCGGCGCCCAGGGAGCAGTTGTTGTTGGGGGTTAACTGCCTTGTTCAAAGACAGAACGGCAGGTTTTTCGAACTTGCCGGCTTGGGGATTTGAACCAGCAACCTTTCGGTTACTGGCCCAACGCTAGCGTTAGCGGTTCAAACTGGTTTGAAGGGGCACACATCCACAGGGAGCTGTGTAAGAAATGGCTCTGCCTGTACATTAGTGCAAAGGTGAGCAGATTGGAGGCTCATAGAAGACAAATGTTTGTCCTGCTGTGTTTCTCTGTACTACAGTATGAATCAAAGCAGTGTGTGTATACAGTACGCTAAGTTTCTGCTTACTGACAGACAACCAGGTGAGAGAGGGGATAGTCCTTTCTAATGAAAGTAGGTGTGTGACCTCATCACTCAGCGTAGTACTATAAATCAGGCTATATTGTAACTCAGTGGATGTCTGTGTACATTCACTGAGCCCCAGCTTTGCCGTCCTCAACTCCCCACTGTCCTGAAGCAGTGCACTCAAGGCAGAACATAAGTCACCTCAAGTACTTGTAAGGCCATGGAGGACCAAGTGAGCCTTCGAAAGACTGGACGTTATTGTAATTTATGTGTTTTCTTACAAATCTGAAAAATGTTTATTTCTGAGGAAATGTCATTCCCTGGTGCAGAACATGCCCATGTTTGTCCCTACTGAACCTGTTTCT